CTCATGAGGGAGGTCTTGTCTTAGCTGCATCAAGGAGCCCACTGGGGACACCAAGCTATGTGTGATGCAGTTCTCAGAGTTTATGGGTGTATAGGAGTATATACCCTAGCCAAACAAGTTACAGATAGTTGCTTATTATGTAAGAATACTAATAAGCAAACGCTAAAAAAAATCACCCCTTGAGGGAAGACGTCCAGGACTAAGACCATTCCATAGTATCCACACTGATTATACAGAAATGCCTCAATTGGTTGCCTAAAATACCTATTAGTAATAGTAGATCACCTCACTCGCTGGGTAGAAGCTATTCCCTTTTCAAACACAACTGCTAATAATCTAGTTAAGGCATTAATTGAAAATATTGTACCCAGGTTTGAAATAATAAAAAACATTGATTCAGATAATGGAACTCACTTTACTGCAAATATTGTTAAAGGGCTTACTCAAACTCTAGGAATAAATTGTGAATAACATATTCCATGGCATCCACCTTCATCAAGGAAGGTAGAAAAAAATGAACCAAACTTTAAAGAATCATTTAAATTGATTTTGAAAACTTGATTGCTTTGGACCACCTGTCTCCCCATTGCCTTGCTCGGAATTCGAACTGCCCCTCAAAAAGACATTATATATTTGGTTTATCTTCTACTTTGTCTTCTCTTAGGACCCAGGGTCTCTTAGCACAAACACCACCTCTTGAGTTCCCAGTGCATCCATGTCGATCTGGAGATTATGTCTTCATCAAAAGCCGGAAAGAAGAAAAACTCAAACCAACCTGGGAGGGACCTTCTCTAGTGCTCCTAGCCACTGAGACAGCAGTCTGGACCGTTAAGAAAGGGCAGACCCACCACACTCAGGTGAAAAAGGCATCACCCCCTTTGGAGTCATGGGTCATCACTCCCGGGCCAACACCTTCCAAACTAATATTCAGAAAAGCTTAACCTGTCTAACTTGCTTCCTCTTTCTTCTGCTAGCTACCCAGGAACATTTTATTATCAATGTAACCCGATCATCATTTCCTCAAACAATTACATTTGATGCTTGTCTTGTTATGCCCTGTGGGGACCTACAAACCCAAAGGTAACTAGCCTCTTTAGGGAAGTACCTTTGCCCTGGTCCTCTAGAACACACAGAACCCACCCCTAATTTTCACCGTTGTGACCATCTAGCATGGTACTTGAAATCCTGTAGCTCTTGGGAACATTTTTATTGGACCACCCAGTACCAAGGCTGGACTTTCACGGAAGGTCCCTGTGCCGCCCTAAAGCCTTATCTCCACATCGCTAAATGAACCACCCCTTCTAATTGTCAGTCCTACCAATGTAACCCAGTCCTCATCTCCACTACTGCTTCTACTTCCATTGACCCTAAGCCCACCTTAGGCTGTCTCTACGGTTTAGGAGCAAATGTTGCTGGAAGGGACCCTATAGCCTCCTTGAAATACATTTTTGTCCACCATTCTCCACCTCCTACCACTTCACCTTCCCTAAATCCACCAAATCAAATAGTGGGTGCCACTCCTCACCCCCTTCCCAATGACAAAACTAAAGTAGCTATTGTAAAAGTAAAAGATTTAGAACAGACTTTAGCAATTGAGACTCGATACCAAGAAGCAAATGCCTGCATGGAATGAACTGAATATTCTGTTAACACTCTAAACAAAAGCAGTTGTTACACTTGTGCACATGGTAGGCCAGAGGCCCAGGTTGTCCCCTTTCTACTCGCATGGCCTTCAAATCAACCGGGCATGGACTGTATGGTAGCTCTCTTCTAGCACCCCACAGCCTGGGGTAATAAGTCATGCCAAGCTCTTTCTCTGTTATTCCCCTAAGTCCAGCACCCTGTAGGTCAGTCCCTGAGGGCCACCCAGCTTCCATCTTCTGATGCCAATTTTACTTTGTGTCTCTCATGACAGGGAGAAAATTGAGCCTTCCTTGGAGACCTAAAGGGATGCAGTGAGCTTAAGCCTTTCCAAGAGCTTACCAATCAGTCTGCCCTTACTCATCCTTGAGTGGATGTATGGTAGTACTGTGGTGGACCCTTACTGGACACTGCCAAACAACTGGAGCAGTACTTGCACTCTAATTCAATTGGCCATCCCTTTCACCCTGGCATTCCATCAACCAGAAAAAGGAAAAACAACACCATAAAACAAGAGAGGCCCCTCATGGATCTTTTGATTCTCACGTTTATACAGATACCATTGGAGTCCCACAAGGGGTACCAGATAAATTAAAACATGAAACTAAACAGCTGCAAGGTTTGAATCCTTGTTCTGGTGGGTAACTGTTAATAAAAACGTGGATTTGATAAATTATATCTACTATAACCAACAACAATTTGTCAATTACACTAAGGATGCCATTAAAGGAATAGCTAAGCAATTAGGGCCTACTAGCCAAATGGCCTGTGAAAATAGGATGGCACTAGATATGATACTAGCAGAAAAAGATGGAGTCTGTATCATGATAGGAACCCAATGTTGTACCTTCATCCCTAACAATACAGCCCCTGATAGAACAATCAATAAACCTCTACAAGGTCTTACCTCATCTAATGAGTTAAACCAGGAATTCTGGGGTAAATGACCCTTTACAGGATGATTAGAAAGGTGGTTTGGTAAATGGAAAGGACTCACGGCTTCTATTTTTACTTCCCTCGCAATTATAGTTAGGGTACTCATTCCCACTGGCTGCTCTATCATACCCTCTATTCCTGGATTAGTTCAATAAAACAATAACTTATAAAAACAGCCCCTACTGGCTGGGCACGGTGGCTCAAGCCTGTAATCCCAGCACTTTGGGAGGCCGAGGCGGGTGGATCACAAGGTCAGGAGTTTGAGAACTGCCTGGCCAAGATGTTGAAACCCTGTCTCTACTAAAAATACAAAAATTAGCAGGGCATGGCGGTGCGTGCCTGTAATCCCAGCTACTGGGGAGGCTGAGGCAGGAGAATGGCTTGAACCCAAGAGGTGGAGGTTGCAATAAACTGAGATCATGCCACTGCACTACAGCCTGGGAGATAGAGCAAGGCTCCATCTCAAAAAACAAAAACAAAAACAAAACAGACCCTACTAAAACTTCATTTCTTTTCCACCCTATTCTGACAAGCTTTTACTTCTAGACAATCAAAAAGAACAGCAAAGTCAAGACATGTTAAATAAGTTTGAAGAAGAAAATGTATAAATTCTCAGAGGAGGAAAAGTATTAGGAACAGTTTCTCTTCAAAGGGTTTCACCCCCCTAGTCCTTCACTCTATTTTGTAAGTAAGCTTTCCTGCCTTTAACACACCCAGGCATGCCTCCATTTACCATGGTTGTAGCTGACCCACACCACCTTACTTGAAGTTGTTAGGTACAAACAATAAACTTCCTGGTTCTTTGTCCTATTCTAAATGCTAAATCTAGTCAATTGGGATCAGTTTGGATTGTACAATCCGACCCCAATTAATGGCGGGAGGACACAGAAACAGGAATGGCATTAGGAATAAAAACCCCTGCTTTCCTTTGTTCAGTGTGCTCTTGCGATCATCACTGATGCAGGCAGCACCTTTCTGTGGAAGTAAATTTACCTTGCTGAGAAATCTTTTGTTTGAGTGCTCATTTTCTTTGCGACTCCGAGCTCTTGTTTTTAACATAGGCAATAACATTCAGGACATAGGCATGGGCAGAGATTTCATGACTAAAACACCAAACGCAACAGCAACAAAAGCCAAACTTGACAAATGGGATCTAATTAAACTAAAGAGATTCTGCACAGCAAAGGAAACTATCATCAGAGTGAACAGGCAACCTACAGAACGGGAGAAAATTTTTGCAATCTATCCATCTGACAAAGGGCTAATATCCACAATCTATAAAGAACTTAAATTTACAAGAAAAAAACCACCCCATCAAAAAGTGGGTGAAGGATATGAACAGACACTTCTCAAAAGAAGACATTCATGTAGCCAACAAACATATGAAAAATAGCTCATCACTGGTCATTACAGAAATGCAAATCAAAACCACAGTAAGATACTATCTCATGCCAGTTAGAATGGCGATCATTAAAAAGTCGGGAAACATATGCTGGACAGGATGTGGAGAAATAGGAATGCTTTTTATACTGTTGGTGAAAGTGTAAATTAGTTCAACCATTGTGGAAGACAGTGTGGTGATTCCTTAAGGATCTACAGAACCAGAACTTCCATATGATCCAGCAATCCCATTACTGGGTATATACCCAAAGGATTATAAATCATTCTAATATAAAGACACATGCACATGTACATTTACTGCAGCACTATTTACAATAGCAAAGACTAGGAATCAACCCAAATGCCCATCAATGATAGACTGGATAAAGACAAAGTGGCATGTATGTAACTTGGACTACTATGCAGTCAAAAAAAAAAAAAAGGAATTTGTGTACTTTGCAGTGACATGAAGCTGAAAACCATCATTCTCAGTAAACTAACATAAGAACAGAAAACTAAACACATGTTCTCACTCATAAGTAGGAGATGAACAATGAGAACATGTGGAAACAGGGAGGGGAACATCACACACCAGGGGCTGTTGGGCGGTGGGGGGCTAGGGGAGGGATAGCATTAGGAGAAATACCTAATGTAGATGACAGGTGCAACAAACCACCATGGCATGTGTATACCTATGTAATGCAACTGCACATTTTGCACATGTACCCCAGAACTTTATAATTAAAAATAAGTAATTTCAACTTCGCTGTACATATTTGACACTTTTCATGATAAAATGCGGGTGGGGGAAGACAATCTTGGCAATCACCAATCCTCTTTCTGCTCCCTTTACTACAGAAATACAAGTGACATTTACTACCTAAGGGTGTCTTCTCCAGAGACAGATTCATGGGAACACTCTAAGTAAAAACTTACTTACCTTTACACCTTCTGTCCTAGCTTGGAAATATATTCATTTCTTATAATCAAACCGCTTATATGAGTCAACTAAATTACTAAAATTCCTGTGTGTTTATACGAACCTTACAGGCTCCATTACTGGTTAACATGTTTGGTTTCAAACAATTCCTTTGAAATAATAATACTGTTTTAATACGTCTTTGAAGTTTTGCTATTTTTGCCTAGAAGAAAAAAAGAAAAGAAATAAATACTAAGCCAGAGTGCTATATATCATATAGAGATGGAGGGTCAATTATTTGCCAAAGTAGTTGTGTAAGACTTACACATCTATCCAAAGGAGAAATTCTAATATATGCAAAAGCTTGAAATAACATTTTATGCT